CCTAATGATAAATGCCATTTAAATAATAGTTATAGTAATTAAAATAAAATGTTAAATAATTATAATTTTTTTTTTTTTTCATAAATAAATTTTTTCATCTTTTAGTTTCAATTCAGTTTTAGCAACTAAAACAAACATATTTGCTAGTTTATATGTTTAAAATAAATATGAAAGAGACGAGACGGGGGGCGGGATTGGGTTAGAAATGTGTGTTTGGAAGGTGGGGATACTGGCATGACTCAAAAGGTGTGGAGAAATGTTGATTGCTTCACTGTATTAGCACAGTAAGGGCGTATTTCCACTGCAGGGCCTCGCACGGCTTAGTACGGTATAGTTAGGCCTTGGTAGGCCTGGCTCACTTTATGCTGCGTTTCCATTACAGTTTAGGAACTGGGGCAGTAACTATAGTAACGCAGTGTAGGCGGAGCCGTGACGTCATCTTCAATGAGAACCACAAAACCAACACAGCCGTTAGCTGTTAGCACTCAGAGCTCACAGCTCCTCATATCTGTTCCGAAACTAGACAAAAGTTAAACAAGTACAAACCACAGACTGCCTGTGTCATGGCGAATACAGTCGCTGCTTTATTTATGTCTGTATAGGCCGTTGTGAGTGTGGACGGTCGGAGCATATACAACGTTAACTTAGCCAATCTCCATTCAGACAACACGCATTTTAAAAGGTTTTTCGCCTGCCGTCTGTCTGCAGACTTGTCAAAGCATTAATTCATGGTTTTTACTAACCGGTATCAGTATGTTGTTACTTCGGCATCATTTTGAAACGTGTATTACAATTAAATCACGGTCAAATATGTCCATCTTGTTGTAGTTGTAGCCCCCTTGCCAGCGATTCTCTCACTAGTTTAGCATACTCAGCCTGACTCAGCCTCGTTGTTGGCCCGGAAAGATCCTCGATTTTGGATAGCCAGAAAAACTGTGAAAAAGTACCCGCTAGCCGGAACTACCCCAAGTGGAAACGCAACCAAAAACGGGCTGGGCACGCTTAAACCGTGCTGTAGTGGAAATGCGCCATTAGAGATGATGTTATTGACAGATTACCCTCACCTTCCTATTGTAACTGTCTGTTTCATAATGTCTCACCACAGCTTGTTTCCCCTCCGTGTTAATATCCCTCTGTTGTTGTGTGTCGCAGTAATCCTGGGGAAGTCTCACTACATTCTGTACGGCCTGGTTGCAGCCATGCAGCCTCGCATGCTGGTCACCTTCGACGAGGAGCTGCGGCCGCTGCCCGTTTCCGTCAGAGTCGGACAGGTAACGCCTCGAAACATCTGTATACACACTCTGCAAGAAATGTGTTTTGCTGTACAAACTTTAATCACTAATTGGGAATGTATTAGTTTTTATTGTTGAGAAATAGATGCATACAAATGGAGTATACACTGAATTATGACATTATGACCACATTGACATACAAATTGAGTATACACTGAATTAAGATAACTCAATTTGTATGTCAATGTGGTTAACTGAGTAATTGTGACCAAGAAAAGTTGATTTGATGTCTGAGGAATCACTTTATTCAAATGGATGATTTCTGACATCCTGAAGTATGTCCAAAAGTTTCACCAGAAGCTTCAAATTGTTTGAGGAAAGTTGATTCATCATTTTAAAACATGTCCACGATGAATCACTTCATTCAGATAAAGGATTTTGACATCCAAAATGTAAAAGACAGAACGTTAAAAGCTTCAACTTTTCAATTGATGTTTGAAATGACAACATAAGATATTTAGCTGATGGAGAAGTTATAAAACATTTCAGGAACTAAAAATTCAATAATTCTGGTGCGAATATGGGAGGACAACTCCCTGTTTAACATGTTTTTTTATGATTCTTAATTAATATTAATTAATATTAATTAATATTTCTTATCTCCCCGTCTCCAGGCTGTGGATGTGGTGGGTCAGGCGGGTAAACCCAAAGCCATCACAGGCTTCCAGACCCACACCACCCCGGTGCTTCTGGCCCATGGAGAGAGGGCGGAGCTGGCCACAGAGGAGTATCTCCCCGTCACCCCCATCCTGGAGGGCTTCGTTATCCTCCGCAAGAACCCCAACTATGAAACCTAGACACCCCGTATAAAAAAAAAAGCCCAAATCTCTCTCGCCTGTTCCTCTGTTTGTAAGGGAAGCCCTCCATGGCTCTTAGCAGTTGTTATTGACACGTTTACTGTATTGCTGAAAAGATTTAAGGGTGGGTTTTCCCTTTTCGTTATCACTATAGCCCACCGTTAGCACATTAAAAAACATGCATAGTGGGTTAGCCGGATGAAGGAGGGAAAGTTTCCTCATCGCCCTAATTCTGATCCACCACCCTCATGTATATGTTAGTAAATTAATAACGACTGCTAAGTCATCATCAATCCCCCCCCCCCCCCCCTTCCTCTGCCTATATCCTCTTTTGTAATTAGAGCATTTAAAAGTATGTATTCACCGTTTTGCTTCTGTTTTTATTTTTATTTTGTTTCGGTTTTTGTTACAGTGCTGTAAAAGGTTTGAATCAAAAATAATAAAAAACTGAGACTCACGTCGTTGAAGTGTGATGGCTGTGTTTTATATCGTGCATTAAAGGTGGGGTAGGTAATTCACTTCAGAAACACTTTTTGTTATATTCCATGGAATGCTCTTAACATCCCGATAGCAATGAATACATTAAATGCTTTGACAATACATACATTAATACAAATATCATCTGTGGAAGCCGTAATACTGTAAAAAAGCACGACCAATCATCTGAGCCGGCCCGGCTAAAATAACTGGATGGCCTACCTGCCTGTCAGCCTTCCATCTGGGCACACACTTATCTCGTGCCCTCATTGGTCATGTGCGCGTTGTGTGTGTTGGAGGAGGGGCTCTGTAAGGAAGTCTGAAGGAAGGGGCAGATTTTTTTCGGTTGCGTACTTTCAAATTCTAGCGCACTTGAGCTGGTTTCTCCATTCTTACCTACCCTACCTTTTAAGTGCGTCACTGGTTCGTTATCATTCACTCAAACCAACAAGTGCTCTCGTCCAAGAAGCTGCAGTTTGTCCACTAGGAGGAGCTGATCAGTGACTATCGGTGTCACATATTGTTCATACAAATACACAAAAGAAAAGTATTAAGTTCAAAGTGGTAGTATCAGAAACAGGTTTATCACCAGGTAGGTTTTTACACATACAAGGAATTTGACTTGATGTCGTGGTGCATACATACAAGAATTAAAAACACAGGTGGAGAACTAGAAAAATATTACACATATTACATTACATTACACTTTTAGACACGTTAGACTTTTTTGCAGGTCTCCCTTGAAAAAGAGATCTATGATCTCAATGGGACCAATCTGGTTAAATAAAGGTTTGAAATGAAATGAAATGAGACGCTTTTATCCAAAGCGACTAACATACTCAATACTGTGGGCAATCCCCACAGGAGCAATTTGGGGTGAAGTGTCTCAGGGACACAACGACATGCTGACTGCAGTGGGGTTTGAACCTGTGACCCCCTGACCCGAACACCTACACACAACCCACTGCGCCCCACGCCCCCCCACATATAACAGTATTTACATTGAAATGGAATAATAAGGAATACAATATGGAATACAAATCGGCAGTAATACAAAATATTGTTGTACATTGTGAACATATATTATGTTCTACACATATTGGCTGTTTTATGTTCTACTTTGAGATGTTAATATTGCATAATTGTTTATTTTCTACTCTTTTTATTTCTAATTAAGTGCAATACTTTGTTTTTCATGCCGCTGCAATTGACACATTTCACAATTTGTGACTAAGAATATTTATATTGCCTATAGATATTCACAGTAAAAGTATGGAAGAACATACAAATTACTAATAAAAAACAGAATTAAACGAGTATATAATAAACATTTCTACTATTTTAAGGACATTTACGTTTCTTAGGTACCATTTATTAAAAAAAATACTTCTCCAAGTGTAAGCACAATAAATATATATTTTGGGTGATTTAAAGTATGTTTTTTGTTGTAAAATGTACATGAACAAAAACAAAATGTCTTATAGATATTCTGAACAAACTAATCAAGACAATCAAAAAACAGTCAATACATTAAAATATGAAATACATAAGTTGTAAATAAACAAAAGGGCCATGGCTTTTACGGGAAGCTCATATATATTCCCAACAATAGATTATATTTAATTAAGATGTACATTTGGCAGCAAATTACACTTTACCAAAACTGTAAAATAATACAAACACTAATACAAGACATAATTAAGCAACTGAAAAACAGTCAATACGTAAAAAATATAAAGAAAGTCATAATAATGAGATCGTAAGTCAGTTACAAGATATATTTTCAGAGGTGTAAAGTAATTAAGTACCTCACTTGTACTTAATTACTTGGAGTTAGAGTTTTTCTATGTAATGCTACTGTGTACTTCTACTCCACTACATGTATTTAATACCTTTAGTTACTCTACAGATCTGGATGAATGATGTGAAATATAATCAAGTGTTAAATCAGACTTTAGTTCCACCTGGAGTAAATTCACAAGCTACCCTGCAGTATACAAAGTCATTCAAACTAGCTGCACCTTGCTTTGAGAACACTTTAATGATCAATCATTATAAAACATATCATATATATTATTCTGAAATGGACCAATCTGCACAATCACTACTTTTACTGTCGCTACTTTCACTATATTTTGATGATAATACTTTTCCACTTTTACTTGAGGAACATTTTGAATGCAGGACTTTTACTGAAACAGAGTATTCCTACACTCTGGTACTTCTACTTTTACTACAAGATCTGAGTACTTCTACTTTTACTCAAGATCGGAGTACTTGTACTCAAGTACAAGATCTGAATACTTCTACTTTTACTCAAGTACAAGATCTGAGTACTTCTTCCACCGCTGTTTATTTATTTGTAAATAAAAAAATAAAGGTATCACGTCACGGGATTCTACCGGAAGTACCCGCTACCGGCTTCCGGGGAGATTTTCCGTCCGTCCGGCTCTGCGGACTCAAGGAGAGAAAAGGTAAAGCCACGATTCCCAGCCAAATTCTACATTAAAACGCTTAAACATCCCGCTAAAATTCAAGTCGCTGGTAAACAAACACCCTGGGAGGTCAGTCACATGTACGTTTCACCTTTTATTCCGGAGAAACAGCTCGATAGGGTGACTTTCTTCACTGGTTTTCTGCTGTGTTTTCAGGGATTAGCCTGTTAGCATAGCATCACATGCTAAAGCGACGTGGGTGTTCTTTCTTCACTTTAGCTAACAGGCTAGCGAGCTAATGCTACGAAACACAGACACGAAAGAGTGTATTCTTATCAAGTGCCTAGGAAACGTGTGTATTGTGTGTGCTTTGTGCCGTTTGATAAAACACCGGTGGATTGTCGCATCACGGTGTTGTTGTTTTTGCCGGTTAAGGTGCTTTATGCTGCTAGCTAGCCGACCGTTTGCTAACTAGCTAGCTTGGTAGTTGTAGGTTAAATCAGTTCGTGTGTCGTAGTTTCTTTTAACCGAAAGTGATGGAGTTTGTGTTTTTTTAGACTTTAAACACAGCCTGGCTGCTTGTATATATATTGTGGTTGTAAAACAAATGCATACTGATAACTAGAAACCTTGTGTGCCATGTGCATATTTGTATTTTAATGGTAATGTCTGCTTTTCTTGTTTATTAGTGCATGTCTTTTAATTGTTTTTTACCTGCTATACCACCTTTGCTTTAATACTGTTAATATCCCCGCCGTGGGACTAATAAAGGACATCTGATTAATTATGATGGCGATGTAATGATGGTGCTAGCAGTCTGAAACAATAAGTCTTAAAGGGGGAAATATATCAATACCACACTGTATTTCCGCTCATGAGCCAAACACACGTTAAGTTACTCCTCTCAGAAAATAAGAAAAACATATGTTGTCAAATATTAAGTGTCAATTTTAAGGAGCTATAAGAGGGTGGATTATTGACGGGTCAAGTGAAGCTACTGACACATAGGGCCATGCTATATCTGTTGATGTAAGCAGCTTTAATTGAAGGTATGCTACTTAGAAACATGTTTAAAAAAATCATGGTTGTTCCCATCAGGATACCATGTACTGCACGCAGGTTGTGATGTTGCTGTAGATATTTTTGCTGCATGAAACGTAGGTGTCTGACTCATCGTGGCCTTTTACTGTAACATTACTCATTATTGTCACGACACATTGACAGCATTGCCTTCTGTGTTTATACCAATTTAAATGAAGCTTTTTGAGCATACCTAGTTGCTCTTTTGTGAGTAGCATTTTGAGCTAATAACCGGTGTAGCCAGCCACCACCACCTTTAGCTTTGATAGTTATCCCATTCATTCACACGATTATCACGTCTCCTTTTCACTGCCGACTGCTTTAAACTGTCCTGTGTTCAGTAGGGTAGTATGGTTGTTTTTATTGCATGTCAGGGGGTTGTCATGGGTGGTTTTAGTTGAGGCGTGGCTGGCATGAAGCCGGCGATCTGGGCGTGCATCGCGCCAATAGCAGGAGAAACCACGTGGTAAACCCAGATTGGGCCTAGCACAGTTAGCAACGTGGCTAACCGCAGAACATCTCCGACACACACACATTTGTAATCGGCTTTTTGGCATGACAGAGCATTACAAGAGGCGTGTGTTTATTACAAATTGCATGCAAATAACTGTGTCGTAGATTATGTGTGTGTGTAGACGTGCAGACACGCCCCTGTGTCATGGATAACGGGCGTGTTGCAAATGCATGTTTAGTTTAATGTGGAAGTTGTTTTTATTACTTTTGTTTGTTAGGAGGGCTATGTTTTTAAAATGTTGTTTCATCACTTCTCATCCTGCTCTCTGCAGCAGACATGAGACCCTCTCTGAGAATGTGGGGCCAAAATGGATGCAGTCTCATTGGGCCCCACATGGGCAGATGTTTAAACCCTTACCCACACATATATATTATTAGTTGTTTGCCTTGCTTTAGCGCAGGAGAATATAAGGCTGTGATGTCCAGAGGTGGACAAAGTACTCAGGTCTAATACTGTAATAGTTTTACATCGGTGTCAAAATACTCTTTTACAAGTATTTACATCAGATACTTTTAGATTATATATATTTTATTGGGATTGTTTTTGATTTGTTAAAGCAGCATGTCACCAAGGCTTTGCACATGTGTTCACATTTAATAGATTACATATATAAACACAAACAGTAGAAGCATATTAAACATTTTATGGACACTATTTTTGAGATCATTATATACTTTTAATTAAAGTATCATGATCCTGCACAGCTTATTTCAGAATAATTTGTATTGTATTATAATTATTTCGTGAATTAATGTGTTCATCACTTTAATGTGGCAGTTGGTAAAGCATTTTTTTCAACAAGGGAACAATATGGTTTATCTTAACATACAAAATACTTCATCAGTGAGTTATTGATCTATATTTTGTATTATTATCAATCAAGTTATTTTTAAACATGTAATGGATTAAAATGTGCAATATTTTTCCTCTGATTTGTATGAAATTAGTGGTAAATGGAAATACTACCTCAACATAAGTACATATTTGCTGTCCACCTCCGATCCAGTGTTATTGTCCATATACAAACATTCACGTTTTTTTTTACCATTCATCAGCGCAGGTGAATATCATGCAGTGATCTCAGGCATGTTTTAGTTGTGGTTAATGAATGACTCTAATAGCAGAAGTGTAATCACAGGACAAATGCACGATGATTCAGATCCAGGCTGTCACGCATAAGGTCATGACTGAGCTTCCTGTTGTGAAACTCGAAGGCAGTCTGCTGGACTTGTGTGGGTTTTGGCCGAATGTCCAAAGACCAGACTGTGCTGCTTTGATGACGTGTGTCACCGCACTTAAACCCTTTTTATTTCCCTTCGCTTCATCAAGTTGACATGTCAGACTTGCTAGTGTGCTTGTGACGGACGCTTGATGATTGGACATTTGATTATGGAAACATTATGTTTGTCCGAAGCAGAGCAACACTGTTGAACCTATGTTTAAGTGTTTTCTTTTTATTTAAGTTGCTATATCTAGTAATTGTTAGGGATGGGAACGATTAATAGAATATTGGAAATTATTCAAGTATTAGTTATGAATATTTTTGGGAGGTGTGCCTAAGTTGATTACATATTATCAAATGGAATAATTCAATGTATACGACAGTGCCATAGCTAAGTGTGTTAGGTCTAAAGGTGTGTTTTGCTCCGCTCACCGGTCCCTCACAGCGGGCAGAGCTGCAGGTGCTGATCTCTCTCTCTCGCGTCCGGTTATACTTCACACGCGTTTATGTCCAAATCCAAAAGATCTAGCTAGTTCTAGCTAATGATATGTCTGCTGCCCCTCCCTACACGCAGATCACGCAGACTCAAACCTCATCTTAGCTGAGAGGGTCTTCTCTACAGCTGGCCTGAATGTGAATCGCCTCCGCACCCGCCTCTCCCCTGAGTAGACATGCTCATATTCTTAAACAAGAATGAGTATTGAATAGCTGCATTCTGTGCATAGGCCCTGTTATAGGTTGCTTGATCTCTGTTGTGATAGGGTTACGTTACCCTAACCCGTTATGTTGTTCGTGGATGATCCCTCTTTCATTTAAAAACCAAGTTATGTTTTAAGCATGAAAGCTGTAGGCCTATAGCTGTCAACTGTTCAAACTGTGATCAGCAGTTCAATACATTTGACAAATTCGACTTGGTTTCTATACTTATTTGAACATGTATTTATTTATCGGTTAACCGTTTTTTTTGGGGTCAAATATTCAAATATACATTTGCTTTCAAATTCCCATCCCTAGTAATTGTACATATTAATATTACTTGACATGATGAGAACAAGTCAGCCTGTGGAGAAGCTGGTAAAATGTCTTCTGGCGCTCCTTCAACAAACAATTGACTTCCAGAAAAGTAACTAGGATGTGCTAAAATGCCGACTCCTTTTCAAGTTCAGGACTCATTCCTGCACCATTCTGTTGGGTTGTATTAGGAGAAAAGTAGTATTCAGTGTTTTTGCAATCTTTACGTCAGACAGTGACTAAAATGTAGGATATCTTTAAGGGGTATAACAAAATATAGACTTGAAAATCGCGTTATCACGTTTTGTGACACTGTCGATTCTCAAAATGTCCTAATATATATTATAAAACATGTATTTAACAATGTCTGTATTTCATTTACTGCAAGTACTAACTAATGAAATCATCAAATAATAATGATGTTGCTCGGATTTAGAAAAACTCCTAAAGCATTTTAAAAGTAGTTGTCTTTCATACCGACTTCACAATAGCATACGCTCAGAGTTTTGCAAACCTGCCTCAAGACGTAGTTATTTTGGCATCCATCTGATCCACTTTCGTTCAATTAATTAATTGTGAAACCAGTTTACAAATGTACACAAACAGTCCTGCTAAATTATACTTTGTTAGTTGTAAGCACATCATTAGTGATCCTCGTACTTAACCGTAGTCGCCTATTTACAAAGATGATGTCATTTACAAAGTTTCCTGACATCATCTGCTCACCATTAACTCATGAAACCAGTTACACGTGTACCTTAGACTGACTAGAGCAAGAAGTCAAGTTGTCATAGTTTTCAGCAAAGCTTGTATATTACAAAAGGATATTCCGAGTAAGCATTTATTTAACAACGGGGACTTCAGCGTCTGTTTATTTATCCGTCTATTGTATATCGCTTCATATCCCAAATTTGCCTTTAGGGGGCTTTACAAACCGTGCCGTAAACAAAACCCTCTCCAGCAGTGCATAGGGGGAAAACCCACCGAGAAAACCCCAAGTAATGGACGATATATGGAATTAACCTCAAGGAGATTAAGCGAAGAGGACGGACAGATGTTGTGTGGACAGAATAAACAATATTAAAACATAGAAACTGATAGTTTTAGCGAACTTAAGGACATGTTCTCCCACTCTCTTCCTGAGCAGGTCATGGGAGGACATGCAGAGGATGATGCAACATCTGTTGGAGCATGTTTCTCCAGCAGTGAATCTCTCCACAGTGCTGCGTGTCAAACCAGCTCAAATAACGAAACTGTGTGATGATGGGGTGTAGCAAAACCAAAACACTCGTAAAACACAGATTCCTGCACAAACTCAATCCTAACTTAAGGGCGATACTGCGGGATTCCAATCACAACAAGGGCCAAAAATACAATATCTGATTATATTGTGTTGCATGTCTCATTCGGTCTTCTCACGTATAATTAAAGGTGGGGTAAGTTTGAGTAAACCAGCTCGAGTGCGCTAGAATTTGAAAATACACAACCGGAGAAAATCTGCCACTTCCTTATAGAGCCCCTCCTCCAACACACACGAACGCGCACATGACCAATGAGGGCACGAGATAAGTTTGTGCACAGATGGAAGGCTGACAGGCAGGTAGGCCATCCAGTTATTGTAGCCGGGCCGGCTAAAATGATTGGTCGTGCTTTTTACAGTACTACGGCTTCCACTGATGACATTTTTTATGGATTTTTTGTCAAAGCACTTCAGATATTCATTGCTATCGGGATGTTAAGAGCATTCCATGGAATATAACAAAAAGTGTATCTCGAGCCGGTTTCTCAAACTTACCTACCCCACCTTTAAGTCCACTTGAATACATACAAAAAAAGTCCTCTCAAACATTGCTTATTTGGCATTTAGTCGAGCAAAAATAGGTTAGCTTTCAGTCAACTAACAACAACATGGGACAAAAAGTTAGGGCTGATCAATATAATATCGGTATTGTAATATGAGACTACATGTTGTCTTACATTATGTATATTGTAATACATGTCTTTGAAGGCTGCATAACAGTAAAGGGATGTAATTTTCTTAGCCGCTATGTCCACATCACTGGGGATTATTCATCGGAAAGCTTATTTTGTAAAGATTTTGTGAAAACGACACCAAAACATCCGTGCAAAACTGATATTGAATAGTTTGTTCAGAGATAATCTGCAGACATCTCCCTGCAGTGAAATTGATTGGTTCAACAGGGTCACATGTTAGCTATAGAGGCATGTATTTATTTCTTGTAAATGACTTTATTAATCCTGTTTGAGTGAGATATAAATACCTTTTTATTCTGATTAGGTATATGGTTGCTTTCAATATGACGAAGATCCGTTTTTAGGGAATAAAATACTTGTTAATGGTTAAATGCATAACCACTCTGTTGCTTTTTTAAATATTGAGACGTAAAGTAGATCCTCCTCATTTAAAAAGGACTGTCAGGCGGCCTTCAGACTTTTCTGTCGTTGTTAAAAAATAACTCGGTCAATGACGAAACATTTTCTGTTAAAAATCAACCTGTGAACGGGAATAGCAACCATTTCTGCTGTGTGATTTCCTCTTCAATGAACACACAGACTCAGCATGACTCAGGCTTTTTACGCTGCTGTGTGTGTGTGTGAATGAGTGTCGGGGAGTGACTGAGATAATGTAGGCCCCGGCTATAAATACCAAATGTGTCACTACTGCCAACCTTAGACTGATATTTGATGTGGAATTATGAGATAAAACCTGAGTTTCCGCCCTTTCTGTAAAAACCTGCACCATGTAGGGTTTGTTTCTTAAATTAATTGAATACGTTGTAGTGGTATTGTTGTCAGCGGATGGATCGTATATCGGCGCACGAAATAAACACAATTATACTCGTTATAATAGATGCAGTGATGATTATTTGTAGGTCGACTTGAAAGGTAGCATCTCCCTTTTTCACTTGAAAAAAATGATACCTACGTGTATTGTTCATGAGGATAATCTCCACATATTAACACCACTTTATGATGATTTTTGAAGTAAAAAGCTTACTTGGGCTATAAAGGAACTACAGCACGGTCACATGACTTCACGTCACCACCGCTAAGCTAAAGGTGGCTAATGTTGGGATATAAAGGAACTGCAGCTCGGTCACATGACTTCACGTCACCACCGCTAAGCTAAAGGCGGCTAATGTTGTGCTATAAAGGAACTACAGCACGGTCACATGACTTCACGTCACCACCGCTAAGCTAAAGGCGGCTAATGTTGTGCTATAAAGGAACTACAGCACGGTCACATGACTTCACGTCACCACCGCTAAGCTAAAGGCGGCTAATGTTAGGCTATAAAGGAACTGCAGCTCGGTCACATGACTTCACGTCACCACCGCTAAGCTAAAGGCGGCTAATGTTGTGCTATAAAGGAACTACAGCACGGTCACATGACTTCACGTCACCACCGCTAAGCTAAAGGCAGCTAATGTTGTGCTATAAAGGAACTACAGCACGGTCACATGACTTCACGTCACCACCGCTAAGCTAAAGGCGGCTAATGTTGGGATATAAAGGAACTACAGCAAGGTCACATGACTTCACGTCACCACCGCTAAGCTAAAGGCGGCTAATGTTGTGCTATAAAGGAACTACAGCACGGTCACATGACTTCACCTCACCACCGCTAAGCTAAAGGCGGCTAATGTTGGGATATAAAGGAACTACAGCAAGGTCACATGACTTCACGTCACCACCGCTAAGCTAAAGGCGGCTAATGTTGGGCTATAAAGGAACTACAGCACGGTCACATGACTTCACGTCACCACCGCTAAGCTAAAGGTGGCTAATGTTGGGCTATAAAGGAACTACAGCACGGTCACATGACTTCACGTCACCACCGCTAAGCTAAAGGAGGCTAATGTTGGGCTATAAAGGAACTACAGCACGGTCACATGACTTCACGTCACCGCCGCTAAGCTAAAGGTGGCTAACGTTCGGGATGAGGAAGTTTAGTTGTTGGTTTTATGACAAATATAAGCCTCGGACATTAACCAGTGGGGTGTTTACTGACATACTTTATGTATATATAAGTCTATTATTAACCACAGTTATTGTTTCATGATTCTCACAAAAACCTTTACATACAGACGAGGAAACAGGAAGTGCTAACATGATGACTCATTTCCAGCTTTTTCAGGACTTATTTCTGGTCCACTGGATAAACTCAGTGCGACTGTCTACCATGTGTGTAGTTTACGTAAAGAAAACAGAGAAGCTTTGAGCTGTCTGACAGACTTCCTTTACTGTGACACAGCTCTTTGTTCTCTCACCGTCTCTTACTTAGTTCACATACTATCGGACCACGACTAAAAATAAACCCCCCAATGTTAGGAAGAATGTCTCACAGAGTTTAATTTCAGTTCTGTTTAGAGTTACATTTACCTCTCTGGAAATATTTATCACAACCTCAACTAGTGTTTGCCCGGTAATCCAATAATTAAGAACCATCTTGAGTCAGAAGGCTTTATTTATTCCAGAGGAAACTGTTTTTTGTGACGGGTGCTCCATTTCTAGAATGATAAATCAGACTAAAATGAATACAAATATTTTTCTAAACATAAAAAGTAATTTCTTTTACAAATATTTATATAAACATAGTAAATTCAAGTAAAATGTGCACATTGTACTATACATAATATATATCATGCCCTTTAGTATTTTAAGTTGGATCTTTCAGAGTAAAGGCATTTTATTTTAGCCGTCTGAAGGATGGGAACTTAGGCCCCGTCCACACGGACACGAAACGGATGGTATCGTATAGCCCGTTCGTTCACACGAGGCCGTAACGGAACCGTGGAAACGGAGCCCTCAAACGATAACGGGTTCCCAAGGTGGATAGATCTGCGGACCGAACGCTCTGGGGGGCCAAACGGCTCCGTGTGTACGTCCTATACGATCATTTCCTGATAACGATGAAGCCAAAGCCCCGCCTCTCCCCACCTCTGCTGCTCACTGCTGTGTACAGATGTTGCTAAATCTACAGCTCCTCTACCACAACCATCAGTAACAAGTGGACATGGAGAACTACATGAACTACATGTTGCTAAATCCACCGCGGAGAATAAACAGAAGGGCAACCATGGCAACCATGCTCGGGAGGTCTTCTTCACTGCTTTTGGTGTATTTTGTGGCGGAAGTACAGCGCCACTTACAGGCCCGGCATATGTACTACAGCGTCTCCAGCGGGTCGAGCGGTCTCGTGTGGACGGACACGTTTCTTGAGACGATACCGTGTGGACGGAAGACTTTTTTTAAGATCGACTTCGGTTAGTTTTCGTCTCCGTGTAGATGCAGCCTTATTTTTTCTCTGTTTAGAGGTTGTATAGAAGGAGAATAAAGTAGAGTTATGGAGTGAGTTCTAGGTGTCGGAATAAATATAGTATGAGGTGATACTGTGGCGCTGATCTTGTATATAAGATATATAAATTCTCTCGATAACATGATGTCCGTATACAAGATTGCGCCACGCACGTAAACAACAACATGGCGTCGGAGCTCCGTAAAAACAAAGCTCTGTTTGATACTCATATTTCTGGAGTAATTATACACTTTCTGACGAACAGAAATATTATTTTCTGTCATCCGAAATCTGCATTTTGGTTTGAGCGTGACCTGTTGAGACCAAACCCTGGGTGTCATTTTGTGTGTCAGTTCAAAGCTCATGAAACTTAACACTTTGTCTGTTTGGCTCCATATGAACTCATCAATAAGTGCTCACTCTGTGTTAATAAAGTTTCTCCCTCTGCTCTTCTCTTTAGGAAAAAACTTTCCTCAGTGTAACTGCACTCAGGACCTAAAAAGATTCATAAATGTAAGTATGCAAGTGAGGCCTATCATTTCCTACACATTGCATTTGTATTAATACCATTAAACTTCTATATATATTTTATATACATATAATGTATTGTGCTTTTCATATTTTCTGTTTGATTTGACATTTTACCTAAGCTTATACAAATATATTTGTATTTATTTCTTTGGACATTATCCTCACTACTACAGTACTGAATGTGAAATAAACAATGCCTTATTTTTATTTTTTGTAATATATCTTTGGCAGCAAACAATTACAGTGTTTTTTCAAGATGTAGTAATTGTACATCTTAAGTTTGTCTGTCAGAAAGATAAAATAAAAACAGTAAAATATACGAACATTAGGGAGTGATCAGGACTTCACATTAAAATCATACGTTTGTAAAAATGCCTTATTTTCATGAATAAATATCAATTTCTCTGTCTGTTCTCTCCCCAGATTTGTACACAGGTCCACATCTGCCTCCCCATGCAGAACTCCATGAAATGAATAAAGCACCACAGCCTATAACAGGACCCCCCTCCATCCCCCACCCTGCCCCCTCCCCTGGCCTATCACAGGTAAGGAACCCCGTTACCTCACTTCCTGTTCTGACTCTTCTGGGACTTGTTGCTCGACCCCACGTGGCGCTCTGTGTGCACGTAATGAGAAGCAGATAAAACAACAGCCTGCTCTCTGTGGTGGAGAAACGCTGCAGCAGCAACAAGCTGTACTGTAGAAAAGTCCTACAGCACACTCGTACATTTGAGTGATTAATGATAAGTGTCAGAAATAATTAAATGCATGTTAATAATAATTACTATGTCCATTTTTAGCCTATCATTCCAGTGCAAGGGGATAACTTGTATCTGTTGGCAGACCCTGAAAATAGCATTGCTTTCTTTACCTTAAGGGAAAGTCCAATAGTATTATTAACTTTATTTCAATTTCAATGCAAGAAACCTAACGTAAAACTCTTTTAAGAAGTCCTCAAAAGAAGGCGTTTTGCTTTTTCATCTTCATAATACACCTGTCCACATTCTAGCTTTCAGACAACATAACTGGAGTCCATCTTTTTAGGAAGGAGTCCGTCTTTTTTGTCACGGACAACATTGTGTAGACTTGTTGTTTCAGTCTCTCTGAGTCCGTGTACAGTGTGACCGTTTTCCCTCAATTTTCCAAAGGGACTTTTCACTTGGATTTTAAATTATTGAGAAAAATAAGCACATTTTCCAAATGAACACATAATACACAAAACTCACAA